ACCTAGTGACAAATATCGTATTATGCCCGTGGATTATTTTACGACAACCGAATTTAATGATAAAACACAGTAGGAGTATGTAATTCATTGCCCCCCATTTCCCTCTCCCCCCCGCGGGAATCGCAATTGGAAAACGGAAATTCAAACATCAGGAATAAAAATACAGTCGATTGTCTTGTTTTAACCGTATACGCGTATAGTTTGATTACGGAACGGGCGAATTTATACTCGCCGCTCGTCAGTGATTAACGCGAACTATTAAAATCAGAATGAAATCTCGCAGTCGCGATATATTATCACCGGAGATTTTATTAGTGAAACCACCAGTTAACGGCGACTTTATTCGCCGACGATCAGCGATGATGAGTACGGAGCAAGTAAATACTTAAATAATTTTTCGGATACGCGCGCGTACCTGGTTATCGGCCGATCGGTCACCATTCTGTTGATGTTGACTGCCATGGATGATATCATTATGATGCGCGGTTTGAATATTATCACAGAGGAAAGGTAAATGCTGTAATCGTGTTTTTTACAAAATCAAAAAAAATTTCTAGTATCGTCAAAAGCACCGCAATGATATTTACCCGGTTGCCGGGAGCTCGTAAATTTTTCCGGCGAACGTAACCACGGAGCAACAGTTGATTTGTTTACGTGTTCAATAAGCATTTCTAACCAGCTATAAATCTCGTGTTGTTTTCGTTCAAACAGTCGTCACTGCGGCAACGGCGATAATTTTCCATCGTTTTGACGAAAGTTCAGCGATTCCCGGACCGGATGTCGAATCCCGGGACCTCTTTACACGCGGGTGTTAAAGTTCGGCAAGGGCTATCGATGTTCACCCCAGTCCGGTACGACAATCCAGCTTCTATCACGGCTTCTACTGGTGGTTTACTACTGGTCGGGCCGAAATATCTGCGTGATGACCCGGCCCGTCCGGACGTAATGTAAAAAATATTTGGTAAGAAATTGACGGACAAAGATATCCACAGAAATCATTTAACTTAGATTGGAAAAATGAAAAATTTTCACTTGCTTATGATATATATATGTCATACAAGAAAACTTTTCATAAAACACATCAAGAACTTTCTCTGGTGTATCTTGATTCTAGAAATTTTAAAATTTCAAGACCAATGTATGTATTAAATCTTACTAGACAACCGGATAATGTTAGTGGAAATAGAAATAATATTATTTTGAATGCAGAATTTAATGAGGATGTACCAAATGGTACAATTTGTTATATTTGTTTAGTTTCAACTTCTGAATAAAAAAGTTGAAAAAAACGCTTGATAACAAATATAATTCTAATTGGACACAAGGTATTTTTATTGTTACAGAAGTATTGAATACAAATCCAATTACTTATAAAATTAAAGATTTAAATAATGAAACTATCGAAGGAAGTTTCTATAGTCAAGAATTACAGACAACTAAATTTTGAAATTTAAATAA